CAATAATATTATTAGCAACAGAAGCACCAGAGATTTCAGTATTTTTGACATCATCACCAGTATTGATAATGGGAATCACCTCTTTTCTGACAATCCACGCCTCTAGTTCAAGGTCTATATCATCATCCACTGACACACCTTTCTTTGGTTTAACCAAATTTCCTGTTTTATTAATATCATCAATCTCCCATCCTTTAATTTCTAATTTGACATCCTCGGGATTCACAATTTCCCATGAGTATACCATCATCTTCACTTCATTCTCTTCTTCACCAAATTTTAACAGTCCGTCCATCAAATAAAAATCATGTTGTGCACAATCACCATTTCCGTAATACCTCCCAATCAACGTCTCATTCAAAAATACGTAAGATGTAAATGATCCGTATATCTCTAATCTCAATGGTGCTTTTAAAACATCTTTAAATTTAATATCTATCGGGTGACGAAATTTAAATTTCCACCATCTTATACCATCGCTGGGTAGTACGCCGTGTGATCCTATACCTGAATTATGATCGACCCAATCCGTTTGTTTATTTTCATCAGGTATACCCGTGGATGTATAAGGAATGTCCAATTTACGTACATCCACCCCGCAAATACTCCATCTTACACGTGTCTCTGGCTCTAACCCTTTGATGCTAGCCGAAATTATTCCTCTGGGGTTTGTTGCATCGCAGAATACTACAGATTGTCTACTTAATCCCCAACTGTCTACAAAAACTATGATCGAATTCTTTTCCTGGCCTCCTGGTAGATTTAAGTATCGAGTGATATCATACTTTTCCGCGCCTAGTGAAGTAAATATCTCTGGCCCAGTTTTCGTTCCCGGAAAGAAAAACTGTCTTGAAAATGTTGTGTGCCCACCCACAAATTGACCATTAACAAAAATTGTACATCGGTGTCTCATGTTAACGTGAAGCCACACGCTTTCCGCTATATATTTGCATGGAAATTCTCCAAGGTACAGTACATGACCGGATACATAATAATTCTCGAGTGCCCCACCATTCTTCAATTCTATCGGTCGCCAGCTCAATTCTGGAAAGTAGGTGATGCGTGTACGCCAATTATACAATTTGGGAGCAAGGTGTACTTCAGAGGTTTTTTCGCCCGCCGTAAGCTGTTTCTTGCAGACGAACGGAAGTGGATATGTCTGATGAATTTGTTGGCGAACATGATCGGCGGGTGGTTTTGATGATAATATTGTTATTTCGTGTTCTTGATCGCCATGTTCTGTCTCTATGGTTGCGTCTAGATTGTTGTAGTAAACATTCTGTGTTCCCCAGGTGACAATTGTTGGTGAATGAGGAAGGAAGACAGTTCGATTGTCCGATTGTGCCCAATGAGGTTCGTCAAACATTGCGTGGAGTGTACCAAGGAATTCCTTGTGCAATGCCAAGACGTACAGATCCTTTGTTGTTTCCGCATTTCGAATTCTTGCATACCCACCAACACCATTAAATGACAAAATGTGAATTGCCTGCCCAACCTTTCTAATGGAGTAACCGAGATTCCCATTATCAATACTGGTGATGATGTCAAAAATACTGAAATCTCTGGTGCTTCTGTTGCTAATAATATTATTG